TATTCTATTTCAGTTTATTCTCAACGTTTAAAGAGGAATAAAAGTGAGCAAAGTTTATTGTATTTGAAAGAGAGAAAGAGAGAGTTAAAAAGAGTAACAGTTCCTAAGGAAATAGTTTTCAGTTATCAGTGAACAAACAAATTACTTATTAAACTATTTATATATATTTAAGTTGTACTCGTATATAATGGAGTTGTATGTATGTAAATTGAATAGGGAGATCCGCCCATTATTGCCTCTAAATATAAATAAACAATCTAAGCGAGCTTTTTATTTTCTGCCGTTACAGCAACAATAACAAAAACTCTTTATTCTCAATTTAAACAGTGCCATCATTTTACATGAGACTTCCACATCTTTTGCAATAAGTTTATTGATTTTAATAATTTATACCCAAAGCAAATTCACCTACAAATTTGATCATATGATATTTAAAAACAAAATTTTCCGCTCCACAAAAGGGGACTTAATGATTTTTTTCATTAAAACATTTCTTTAAAAGTTGTGCGCAGCTATACATCAATTGACTATGCATGCACACAGAAGTACACCATGTCGTATGAGCAACAGAGAACGCAAAGGCACTTGTATGAATGCTCAGTACATTTGATATATTATTTGAACTGCATATAACTTTGAAAGGAGTGATTTTATAGAAAAAAAAAATATTAAGATCTTTTTCCAGTTTGTAGACCTGCTTTTTTCATGTGAAACCGAGAAAAGAATATCATCTTAAATACATGATGAAATCAAAAATCACTGAGACACGGCTTAAATTGAAAATAAAGAACTGCTCTACATTGGATAATATTTTTTAGAGCAAAAACTGAAGCTTCAATTAAAAAAAAAAACGAATTTTAAAATTTAAAGTCCCTTAAAACATAAAGTATTCAAACCACTGGAATATGCGGAATATTTAAATTCTTTTAAAGTCAAGAGACTAAATACTTATAGAATGATATAACTACATATAATTACAAATTATACTTGTCATTACAAATAATTAAAATAAATAATAATATTTTAAATTATATGAGAAAATTACTTAAAAGGTTTTCGTTTTACTGAAACTATTAATATAAATAATATTTAATATATTTACTAAACTATTGTTGCGTTTTTAGCTATTTTAATATAAACATAATATTCGTTAAGTTGTCGTTCTCACTCTTAATATTTTTTATATTAATAAAAATAATTGTTTAAATACAAATTTCAACTTAAATTATAATTTTGTATGCAAAATATTTTTTAAATATATATATTTTTATGTCTGTATTATATAATACATATCGCTTACAGATTTGCTTTTAGAGCGGAAATACATGTCTATAATCAGGTTTTTATTATTTTTTATTTTAAATACTTCTTTGAACATTTTGCTCATATATTTGAGTGTCAGCAGCATTTTTATAGCAAATGCTAACGTAATCAAGGTCTCACTACAAATTATACATAAATTAATTCTTTCTATGAAGTTACACATATTGGAAAACGAAAATTGTATCAAGAAAAAAACATATATTAAGAAAAAAAATTACAAAAAATACTTGTAAAGAATAAATAATATGGCAGAAGATATAGGCATATAATATTAGAAATGGCTCAACAGCTTGTTTATTCTAGAAATGTGTCTGCATGAAAAAAACATTGATTTGGAAATCACTTTAGCTTTATGGAATTTCTGTTGTTAAACAGTTGATTTTACCATTTTAGTAAATCATACGCCTCAGGCAGTATTATTGCAACCATGCATTACAAGTTAACTGAGTTAATATATATATTTTATTTTTATTTTATAAGGTCGAAAAAGTTAATCATAAAACCAAATTGTATTAAAAAATTAGAAATTCAGCAAGTTTCTAAACCCAAAAATCGAATTAAAAATATTTTTATCCAAAATACAAAATTGAAAAATGAAAAATCTTAAGCCCATTATTTTTTTTAATTTTAAATATTTAGACTTATAAAAAACAATAACTAATTTTCATGAAAACTCAATGAGAATGGTGCCACGACATTAAAAAAAATATATATATATATATTAACTCAGTTATATGTATACATTTTAATCAAACCATTTTCCAGCAGTTGAATTGCATATTTTGTCATATTTACATTAACTAAATTTTAAGTTTTGTATAACAGTTAGCAATATGTTAATTTTTCTTTTTTTCTCTTTTCATTGCACCTTTTGATTTAAAAAAATATTATTTTTTTTGTTCCTAATAAGAATATTTTATCAATTTTTAATTCTGATTTTAGGATTAAAACTTGAAATTTTTTTTTTAAATGCAAAAATATTTGGTTAAAAAATTCGAAACCGTGTTGACAATTTATACTTTTTCATACATTACTCATACGCTGTGTCTTACTGGATTCATTTGCTAAGGGGAAATGTCACAGATAAAATAGTGTAATTTGATTTGTTGTTGTTGTAGTAGTTTATATTGCATTCTAGAAACATAAAATTTATATTTATGGATAATACTGCTGTGCCGAGAGTCCTCATAGAGAGAATTTTCAAATATCTGTTGACCTTAATACTTTTTCGAACTTGTGCAGTGTGAAAAATAAATGTTTCATTAAAATTTTCACATTTTATGTAATTTTTACATATATTTTTATAGTATACATATATATAACGGTAATTTTTTTCTAAAAGTATGCCCCATTTCCTGTTTTCGTTATTTGAATAAGCAGGAAATCTGCAGATTTTTTTCCCACAACTAAAATTTTAATAAAACTCTAAAATTAGTTAGAGGTTAGTTATTGTGTGTATTTAGCTAAATAATAATAATAACTGCTTTTCTAAAGTTGCTTATGGAAAAAGTGGACCAAAAAATACATTGGCGATTTTCTTAAAATATATATGTAAAACTTTTAAACGTATATCGCCACCTAAAATGCAAAGAAACGTAACATTACTTTTCATAAGTAAATTGACAGTCAAGGGAAAAACGATATAATAGAAACCACTCACATTAAAACAATATGTAAGTTTTGGTTATAAAATTTGTATAACTGAGGGCGGAAGCTTGACATTGTACGATATTTCATATAGTATGATATGATGTAGTGAATCGTAAACCATAAAAACTCAATTTCGATTTTTTTGATGATATGTTGTTTTGCATTTTGGGTGACGATATCCACAAATATAAATTCAAAACTTAGAAATTTCTGCAATTCATTTGTTTCAACTTTCCATAAGCAACCCAGCGCTATTTATAAATAATCCCTATCGACCACATACAAATAAAGGGATACAAAAAATACAAACGATTCTTATATAATATATTAAACTAAATTATGAAATGTATAATTCATGGAATAATGGCTTATATAGTATACATATACATATATATATTCAAGAAACATAGATTTGTTACTACTAACTACTTTGCATTCAATATAAAAAATAATAATTATATAAATATTTTACAACTTGTGTATTGTAATCCAGTTATTTACTGTTTATAAGTTTTTAATGTAAATTTTATGGAATTGCAGCTTATAAATAAATATGTAAATATTTTGTAAAATATTTGGAAATAGTTTATCACGGAGAAGATGCTATTATTGGCTTGTACGAATCTATAAGTAACGGTATATAACTACGTGAACATATTAATAAATTTAAAAAAAATATTTAATTAGAAAAAAATTGGTAAAGTATTTAACTCCACATTTTTAATTTTAAAAAATGTACAACATTTTGTTGTTGTAAATTGTTATGTACTAAAGCATAACACGATACTTTGGATCATTATATAAACCCAAATCTATTCTGTAGGTTTTTTGCTAGTTTTTTCACCACGCAAATACTCATAGGTCGGTTGACCCAGAAACGGTATCGTGACATCGACCATATTGGGATAAACCAAAAACTTATTCACCACTTCGCACAATTTGCTCTCAATAATGCTGGTCACGATGCTGTAGTCGACAGATTTTTCCCCCAATGCTGGTTTGGCTGAGAGCCAAAGACGTGGTGGACCACGGAAGCTGGGGAGAAGAGAGACAAATTATTTAAAACTCAAATATGAATTAAAAAAAAAAATCCGAAGTAATTAAAAAATAACATATAAATCACTAAAAGCCACAAAAAATCGTGCAACTTACGACAGCCATATGCGATCCGATGGCGGTGGTGGTATGTTAATGACGCCACGTCCGACCAGACCGCGCAGATCCACACGCAACGTTATATTCGTGTTCATATTCTCGATGGCGCGCTGTACTACTGGCAAATCGGTGGCGTATTGAAAGAAGTTCGAAGCGGCAATGCGATCCACTATGCGGAAAATACGACGCGCATTGCCTGGCGCCGTGGGAATGAAGTGATAACTGTAAATACATAAAATAAAGAAAATTTGATTGCAAACCAACCAACCAACCAACTTTCCAACAACAAAAACACTTACTCTGTTGCTGCAGCTAAGCTGCCATCGGCTTGTACGGCTTGACCTGTCGTTGTCGCTGTTGTGCCGATATTCGGTGTGGTTCCTGTCGCCGTGGGCGCATTCAAACTCTCGGGATCTGTATCCGAATCGCCAGTACTCTCTGCATCGCTATCAAAGATAACATTGCTCGACACTTCATCAACATTGTTGGGGTCATCCGCGTATAATCTGGCATTTGTGCTACTTCGACTAGCTCCCTCACCGTCGGCGATCACAATGGGTGGTACGACAGTGAAATTAGCTACTGGTGGCGCATTCGGTCCGGTATTTATCGGATTTGGCACAGTTATATTGAGTGGATCTGTGGGCCGTTTTTGTTGCTTAATACGCATCAAATTTAATTTGGTTGTGACGGTTAACTGTAGCAAACCCTCATAGGTGATGTCGGCATCTACCCAAGTGCCACGCTCATCCAGCATGGGTTGTGAGACGCGGTGAATGAGTGGCGGTGTGTCGCCCAGATTGATTTTGGTGATAACCACATCTTCAATGAAGGAGGGCAGCTGTAGAAGAAAGTGCGTGTTATTATGTAAATATTTCTAAAGAAGCGTTCAGAGCGGACTGTTAAAAAAGCGAGTTTATATGTAATGGTTCGTACTAGGTGTATGCTATATCTTCCACACAGAACTGTTCATGGATAGAGAAAGTTTCAACTCTTATTGCCAACAAACACAAACTTCAGAAATTGACGGGTTGCTTAAGCTTTAATGTGTGTATGCCGCATTAACTGAGCTTGGTATGCATGCCTTTGTAGAATGACGTTAAGCTGTATTCGCAAACTTTCCATACCAGAGGCGTTTTCAGAGAGGGCGATCCCTGTTCTATTTCGACATGAAAGTAATTTTGAAAGCTGTTTACCAGCAGTAATGTAAAGAAGATTGAAACAATAGCTTGGAAGTGTATTTTCGAAGCAGTCAAGGACTTGGTTAATCTTAGCATCGCCATCAACAGCAATAGTGATTACTGTTTTAGTAATCAAATAAGATGTAGGTCATTCTCTCGACAAACGAAATTAACACTCTAGAAATCAGCACAGAAGCAGGCACGCTGCCAAAAAGTAATGAACTGACGCTTAAAGTTTTCGAGCTTTAGACCTTTAGGAGACATTGATGATATTCTCTAGCCAATATTAATACAACAGTTGTTCTGACACTGGTTATGTGCTGAAAAAGTTTACAATGCGAGAGTTTGGTGTAAAAGACCTAGAGGTTTGTGGTGAAGTAACCAAATAAAAGAATAACTGAAGAAACTTGATGAACGAGATTGAAGATAGCGCGATCGTAGTAGAAGGAACAAGGCTAGGTCGAAGGCCTAAACTCCGTTGGAGGCCTCAGGTGGAGAAGGACCTGGCTGCATTTGGTATCTCCAATTGGCGCCAAATAGCGAAAAGAAGAAACGACTGTTCTCTTAGATCATACATATTCTTTTATCTCTATATGAACATAAAATTTTAATCGATTACTTACCTTTATGGCGCTAATTTTCTTCTGTAGTAATTCTTTGATCTTATCCTTAACCATATTGTCATGAAGACAGCTATAGAGTACACGTCCAATTAACACATTAGCCCAAACAACGCTGCCAGATGGACCCAAGAATAACGACTGATCAATACCCTTCCACAAATCTTTGGCATTGCGTTTGGAGCGACGTGACTATGGTAGCGATGAAAAATAATTGAATGAAAATGGTGAATAATACAAAACTTTCTTTGTAATTTGAAACAAAAATAATAATTTTTGTTAAAAATATTTAAAATAAAAATATTGATGATATAATAATATATATAATATTTAAAAATTAATATTAAAACATTTTTTTATTGTTAAATGGTAAAATTTATTAAAAAACTTTAAAAAAATAATATTAAGAAAAGATTATGAAATTTAAATATATTTAAATTTAATGAATAAGCAAAAATTATTCAAATTTTTTAAAGAATTATTTATATTAGAAAATAAGCAAAAACAATTATAGCATACTTTTTCATTTTTATCCAATGCTTTTGGTTTCGATTGAACTGCAATTTTGGGATCTTTGCAAGCGCTCTTAAAAAATCAAAGAAAAATAAATTATAAATTAAATAAAAATAAAATAAAAAATCAGGTTAAGGTGAGTTCATATTATATAATTATAATATTTCAAGTAAATTTAAAATTTCTAAAATAGTTGCAACATCCTGAAATTAACGTCTTAGTTTGATGAGGAATAAATAAATAATATTGTTATTTACTCGATCTCGAGATCTCGTAATAATCTCATGGCAGCGGCTTGCTAACGGTTTGTCATAACCTTATATGTACTCCATCAGCAAAGAAAACAAATTGGATTCTTTTATGCTCTGGAAAATACTTTAGATATAACAGAACCCTTCCCTGATCTACGTACTACTAAAAGAATTATTTATTTTTTTTTTAAATTAAATATAAGGCTTTGTCCTCCAAACAAATCTAGCCTAAGAAACCAAAAGAACTCCTTTGACTGATGAAACTATTACAACAACAAATAAAATAATTTTTCTTACTCGTAAAAGCTGCAAAAGTCATGGGCAAAACGGAAGAACGGAAGTAGACAAAACTCCTATTGAGGGAGTCTATTAAAATTATAATGGATGAACTCCGTCTGATATCGCAAAGACCCTTAACTGGTCCTTTCATCGCTTACTGGTTTACTAGATTGACCTAACCGAACCTAACTCATAAAAGCAGTCTGAGACTTAAGCTTTTTCTTTTTATCTCACCATATCAGATCTAAATCATAGGTAATAAAGATACTTCTTGCTCTAGATATACAAAAAATAAAAAAAAACGGATGAAAATTAATACAAAATAAAACACCGTTAAAAATTAAGAAACTCTTGAAATGTTACTGATATTTTACACAATAAGTTCGATTTGCTGTCATCATACCTGATATATAGCCATAAAACGTATGTAATCTGGGGGATTGCGTGCAGCACACGAACTCATGAGTAGACCTTCGAAGGTATCAGTTGGTGAAGGCACCACCTCCATATCATCTGGAATGTCTTTGAATGCGTCACCTTTCGCCATCTTGCCACCCTCAACCACCAACGGCGGCGCGATATCCGCGGGTAATACATGCGACTCTGTTTCGGCGTGATTCTCATTTTCTGGTGTCGCATTATCACGCTGTGATTAATAGAATAGAATTTTTTTAGAAAATTAGAAAATTATTTAGTGAATATGTTAGTAGATAGAATATTTACAAGATCCAGCGGCATTTGTGCCGCCTTCGCTGCTGCGCGCTGCAACTCAGCATCATCGACAAATTTCAGATTTGGCAAGCGCAACATTTGGTCGTGCACGTCACCTTCGCTGGCGGCCACAAAGCGACGATACCAGTCCTCCTTCTCACGGTCGCCGCGCGAAAAGAGTATCAAGCGCACCTCGTCGCCACAAGGTATAAGACTGTCGTTATTCTGTGTGTTGTCTTGCAATTGTTGCAACTATGGAGGAAAACAGAAATTACAACAAAATAATATAAAATATAAGATATGCAAAAAAAAAAAACAACATGTAAACACTTCGCTACTCACATCGGCATTCATAACGGTAGCTGCAAAATCGATATCCTGCAGATTGGTCACCTTCTCTTTCGATTCGCCGAGCTGTTCCAAAATATCGCTGGAAACCTGTGACATTCTACTATCCATCGACGCCAAGTCGGACTTGCTACCTCGTGCAGATAATTGAGTTGATGGATTTTCCGAGGGCTCTTGCTGAGTCTCCTCTTCGGCGCCATTTTTGATAATCAGCTGTATGGGATACTTGCGATTGAAGTACCTGAAACGTTGTTTGTTTAAATTGTGTAACTAAATTTTTGACTTTATGTGCTGTTGTTGGTGTGTGTATGTACCTCTTGCGCGCCAATCCCAGTGGCAAGAGCTCAACACTGCAACCCAGCAAATTGAACACGCGATGGCTAGTGAAGTGTACGTGCTTTATGTCGATGGGCGGTTCGTTCCACATGATACGCTTCGGTATGCGTGCTGTTGTTGTCGATACGCGTAAGTAGGTGCCGTCAAGACGCAGATACACCGAATTGGTTTGTGTAATGTGATAGGTTAAGGGGTCATAGCTGAAAATCTCGTTCATCCAACCCTGTTGCATAGAATTTTGTTTATTTTATTATTATTATTGTGGTATTTATAGGAAAATATAAAATTTAATATCAATTTTCTTAGTTTAAAGCATTATTTGACAGTTTTTCTCCATCAACTGGAGTATTCGCCGTTGCCAATACGCAAAACACCATAAATCTTTCGCAGAATCTTTCTCTAGAAAACTCGAAGAGGCGATCAATTGTTGTAGAGTTTGGTCTTTGTTCGTCTGGAGGATGGAGTCATTTGTAGAAGTTGACGCAAGTAAGGAAAATTTTCGGAGCGCCATTCACTTCGGAGTAACCAGAAATGAATCTTTTACAACTAGCTCACGATTTCCGGCCTTAAACCAATTATCCTCTGGATACCCAATAACCATCTATTTGAAGGCGAGCTAACGTGAGATGGCGTATTATCCCTCACCAGAATTGTGCGATGGGTTTGGCACCCACCATGTAAAAAAAAACACCCTCCAATGAGAGCATCAAAACAGCATCGGATGAGGGACCCTAGACAATATATAATAAAGGAGTTCGCTCCTTCCGGTTAACTTTATGACTTACACACCGCTCAATATGCAATAATCTCAATATGGTTTTGTTACTTTGGCGCTTTGACTGTTTATAAAATACCTTTAAACTGTAACTATGTTAGAGATTATCTTACATCCTTTCAAAACACGTAGATTCCGCTAAATGCTAGAGAGCTTCAAACTGACAAAATTACAGATGTTAAAGCGACATTAATTCCAAATCGAAGCAACATTTTTCCACTAGTGTTACTTTTTTAAAGATCTTTGGAAACAAGATAGGTAATTGCTTCCTACTTTTAAGAATATTAAGGAAAAACGAAATGACGAAAGCCTTACGTATAATTTTTTGACAGACTAAAAATGTCTAGCTTGCAGACAAAAAACGAGACGGTCCGAAATGCGTAACTACGAAGAACTTGACAATCTGAGCGGCAGGAGTAATGCTCGAAAATTCAATGAAAAAACAGAAGGTTTCAAGACCTGAGCGTGCTCTTGTAGTATGAACTAGGGACTGATGCTGCGTACTGAAATTATGGAGGGCACACTTCTCCAGCCTCGCAGTGAAAGCTTATACCAGGATATGGGAAGTCGATTCCCTAACCGATGACGATGGAGCGGACGTTCCATTGCCCGACTATGAAGAAGTTCGAATTGCAATTTACCAGTCTAAAGAACAACAAAGCGGAGGGGCCGATGGATTGCCGGATGAGCTTCTTTGTAGAATATGGTCGAACGAAAGCATGTCCGACGATTGGAATTTAAGTGTACTTTGCCTAATCCACGAAAAGGAGACCCCACAATCTGCGCCAACTACCGTGGGATAAGGCTCCTCAACAACGCATATTCATCGATCGTACTATGTGAAAGATTAAACCCACTGGTCAGCCCTTATCATGTCTGGGAAATCAACAAATAACCACAGACCCGTCGATTTCAAAGCTGCTTTTGACAGCACGAAAAAGAGCTGCCTTTTCGCCGCTATGTCTTTTGTATTTGATATACCCGCAAAACTCATACGGCTGTGTAAACTGACATTAGGAATCGGGAATGCTGTTGGATAAAATAAATTGAGATCTGAATAGAGAAGGTACAACTACTGTACGGTGCAGAGGTAAGGACAATTACAACATCTGATTAGTCGACGTTACGAGTTTTCGACAGAAAGGTTCTGTGGAAGATGTGTCGCATTCGAAGGAACGATCAGCCGTTTGAAAAATACGACGACATTGACATAGTTCAGCGAATTAAAAGACTGGGGCTACGATGGTTAGGTCATGTCGTAAAAATGGATGAAAACACTCTAGCTCTGAGAGTATTCAAGGCAGTACCAGCTTAGAGAGAAGCAGAGGAAAATAATGACCTCCACTCCGTTGGAAAGACCAGGTGGAAAAGGATATGGCTATACTTGGAATTTCCAAACAGCGAAAAGGAAGAACGGCTGGAGCGCTGTTGTAAACTCGACTACAACCGCGTAAGCGATGTCTACGCCAATAAGGGAGTAGAAGAAGAAAAATGTATGGAGAAACGATGATCGCGCTGACGTATGAGGAATAAAAACTTTTTTCTATAAAGAAATTACTGATATCCAACAATTGCGTTTCCGGAATTAACCAGAATTTCGTTTTTTGTTGTTGATAGCTTGCAACCTTCAAGTAAAATGCACGATATGCGCATTACCAATCTGTCCGTTTGTGCAAAGGATTACTGACGGCAGTGAAGAAGAGAGTGGGGCGGATCAGGAACAATTCCTACCGCACCTACCACCGTAATAACGGAAACGCTCACGTAAAATTACCGTATTACCGTTATATAATATTTTATTTCACCAAAAGTTAAAAAAAAAACATATTCTACCCTCCACTAATATACTATATACGGATATACGGCAAAATACTCACGGCATAGGATTTAATTGTTTTGTGCTCCTCCACAGCCGGCACTTCACAAATAGGCATTTTCGTATAGTCTGGTATCTCAAAATCAGTACCTTCGGGATGGTGTTGAAAGAATTTATAAATAATCGAACGTGCCAACACACTTAACGAGTCGGCAATAGCGAAACTCATCAGACACGCAAGTACGCCGCGTATAAAACCATGAACCGGCAAAAGCAGCACTACAATGAGCACCGCCAAACGACTTATCGGCATGGTAGCGGCGAATTTTTTCTTCGGTTGCAAATGCTGCTCTCGTTCACGATCACTCTCTCTTTGTAATATCTCTGCGGCATGTCTCAAAGTTTCCAATTCATTTTGGTGCTTAATAGTCTCCGCATCGGCGGGTAAACCTTCAGTGTGTGGGGGTGAAGCTTTGTTTGACCTGCTCTTACCGAAATGTAGATGTAAATCGTGACGATTGCGTGAAGAAGTTTTGGGCTCTTCGGGACTCCCAGCAGCGTCATGCGGTAGTGTTGGCAAAGTATCTTCCATCATCTCAACACCCGACTCGATTTCCACCTCCTTCTTACCGCTGATTACACCACGTTTCTTAGTTTTTGAGCTCACCTTTTTGTCCGTCACTGTCGCTTGACTTTCGGCAGGCTCGACGCGCGGCGAGACGTTCGCACGTTCGTTTTGCTCGGTCGGCGAAGGACGTCGTCGGCGCATTAATGCATCACGCAGTGACGTGTTTGAGGACACAGGCGGCGGACCGGCGGGTTCCTTCTTCATTGGTTTGATGGCAGCTGTGCCGAATGCAGTGGAAATTGTAGCTGTAGAAAGTGCTGCTGTGGCGAGACCAGGCTGTTGTTGCGATGGTGAATGAGACTGATGAGACTGATGAGAGTGATGGTGTGTATGTTGCGTTTTAGATTTCACTTTCGATTTGAGATTGGCTAGGCCGCGTCGCAGTCTGGAACGTTCTACCTCAGCTTCGGGCAGCGGTTCTCCGTCGGCTGAGGAATCTGAGTCTCCACCTTTAAAATGCGGCGATTTACGTTCTAAATCGAATAGCAAATCATCACTGATGGAAGAGTGTGTGGTCGGATTTTCGGTATCCGAGTCTGGATCGTTTATTTGTTGTGTATAATATTGTCGTGGGTTCTCTACTATAAAGATTTAACGAGAAATAGAAGCATTCATTGAATTTTCATCGAAAAAAGGAAAGAAAAAATTAGCTCACCTCTCGGTACGGACGCCGACAATACTTGTGTGGTCGTTTTCGACGATTTAATATCCTCAAATGTCTGTGAAACTTTACCCTTAATTAATTTCCAAGTGCCAACTGTTGGCGTATCACTGCCAGCGAGCGCTGCTATTAGATTTGGTCCTGAACTAGTTGGCGAAACGCCTTCGATGCTGCCCGATCTAAGTGCACAAACAAATATGTTGTAAACAAAATCTCAAATGAAAAGTATTTGTTTATTGTGAAAGTGGTTTCAAAGCACAAACTCAAATGTCATTAACTGAAAAAATATATGTGTACCAACTTGCCCATTTGCGAGAAATTGGAGAGTTTCGAAATAATTTTCCGCTCAACGTAAAACTCATAATTCTGGTAAAGGATTTCTTTGTACATAATTTTTGTATTAAACTTCGGCTGCACCGAAGCGAATATACCCTTCACATGCTCATTTCTTTTAGTAACTATATGTTCACTTTATATGGAAGCTATATGCTATAGTAATCCGAACTGAACAATTCTTTCGGAGATTACATTGTTGCTTTAGAAAATAGAATTGCTTGAAGTATGTTTCGTCGCATTATCCCAGAAGCGGAGGCCTTCATAATTTTCAAATCGTTACGTAAATTTTACTTTTTTAGTAAGAGGCGTTATACATGGACGGTATTTGATACATAGTAAAAACTTTTTTAAATAAATTACAGAAACAGCACCGTAGTATGCTGTCGATTATGGTATAAAATGTATATTTTCCGAACACGACTGCTGAATTTCATAGCTGCCATAACACTGACTCTTCTTTCTATCTAAAAAAAAGGCTAACTTGGCCGTTTTTTCGAACAGGACGTTACTTCTGACCACAATCTAATGGAAACAAAGTATAATCCTTCTCATGGCCTAATATTTCTCCCATGTGATCATTTTCACTGATTTAGTGATTTATTTATTTATGAAATAATTTATGAAGATCTTTGTTTTGATTTTGATTGGTCAGTTTGTATGGCAGCTATACGTTACAGTAGTTAATTTGTGCGGATATTGTATCGATGCCTTGGACAAAAATTTATCAACATTTTCGAGAAGATATCTTGTCAAATAAAATTTTTTTTTACACAAGTCCTTGATTTGGAAAGATTAGTTTGTTTGTCAACATTTTCCTACAGTGTCCGACATCTGTAGTCGTGTGTAAAATTTCACATCGATATCTCAAAAACTGAAGAACTAGTTCACATATACATATATAGTCAGATGGACGGACAGACAGAGACAAGGATATGACTTTAAAATGCTTCCGACGTTTTCTTTTGATTATATCATGATATCAAGAGGCAATAAATCTCAGAAAAAAAAACTGTTTGGTTCGGAAACTGTGATCGAACTTAATTATTTTTCAATGGTACTGCGTATGTCTAGATAGATAAATAGAAAATGGAAGCTTTGTACTGCGGACTTTGGTCTATTATGCCTATTCCTATGCCACACATGGTCACAAAAGTCAGGCATTCTGAACATTGCCCGGAGCTTGCCTTCAGTGTACCAGTGGATTATGGTGTCCCTCAGTATTAGGTCATGGATGGAATCACTCGCCTTCGCCTTATTGCTGAAAGTAACTCTAAGCTTCTTTGCAAAGTTTATCTTCTTCGTAACACCGTCCTTTGGAAGAAGGGCCTTTATTTTTTGAGTCGACCAACCCCCTGCTGTCATGAGCAGCATAGTATGTTTCACTACCTCTTTGGTCACTAGATGTAGCGGTGTGAGCACCAGCTTCATTTCAAGTGTTGCGGTTGGGCAACTGCGCATTGTTCCTGAAGCGCAGCCACATGCGAGCCTTTGCAGCATCGATAGTTGAAGACCTACCGCAGACTACGTTGCCTTAAATGTCCAAACACGACGCCCAGCTGACGTTAGATTGGGTTTCAAGCTTAAATACGTGGAGCCATGAATAATCCCACTTGGAAACACCGATCCGTTATAATGGCCAGAAATACTAAGTATGGCTCAAAGAGTCCCGTAAGCCTGACATATTGATTTCGGCTATGTCTCCTGGATCACCGCAAGTATGACCGTGTTTAACCTCAGTCTTTCATAACAGTTCACCTTCTCACATGCAATTTTACACAAAGGCGAAGACCTTTTAATCACCGTAGCAAGAACTTGAAAAACTCTTTATTTTTATCCTAAAATCAATTTTCAATTTCATTCTCATCAAGATACCTTTTTATTGCAAAAAAAATAAAACAGCTGACAATTTTGTTTATTTCAGAAAAAAGTATTTGTTTTATTATTTAAATGGAGATATTGTTTATTTATTTTTTTGTTTTTATTTATTTATTTTTATTTTTTTTTTGGTTTTATTCTTTCTTAAAATTCATATACTGTTACAATATATTTTATCTTTTTTATGCATAAATTAAAATTTTCATTTTGTGTACAAGTTACATATTTTTGGTTTTTGGTTCTGTGGCCACATTGCAAGCACATTCGTGTTGAACTTGTTGTTGTTGTTGCTAATGAATATTCTTACATTTGGTAATTGTTTTAGTTTTGCAAATTTAGTCAAAGAGATTTCGATTTACGCTCATTTCTTGCAAACGTTTTCTGTTTTCATGCCTTTCATTGTGTTTCTTTTTCAGTTCTATTATTTTGAATTGAGATCCGAAATGTAAAAAAGTAAAATTCCATTTTTTATATTCGAAATTTTCTCTACCAAGTTGATGCTTTATCCAGTTTAAACACTTCTATCTATGTATCTTTGTTAATTTGATTATGTATTATTGGTTTTGACTTTACTTTATAAATTGCTTTTATTATTTTTTACTGAGAAAGTACGATTTGGAATATTGGAAAAGGAGAAAACATCATTTTTTACTTTTTGGGCACTCAAAATAAGCTTTTCTTCCAAACAGTCCAGTTTACTCGGAACGAATGCGTTTTTATATCCCACAAGGGACTGTCAATTTGTTAGAATTGTTTAAAAATAATGCTAAAATGATTTCTTTCCATACAAAGCCCTATAACATCAAACCCTAATGGTAGGTTAAATGACTGAGCAAAACTTAAGTTACCAACAACGGTAGCTGCAGAGGTCAACTAGTTAAGTAGGTCACAAAATCGTAAGTATTAAATATATATAGCATAAATGGAGTTCTAATAAAGACAAGAATAGCTTTTGAGATGTACTTTGTAGAACTGAGAATTTAGAAAAACAAATAAATCTTGTCAAAGTTAGCGGAAAAAACGTTTATAATTCACGTGTTTCTATCAGAAGAAGAAGAAGTCTTATTACTAAGACTTTATCAGTGGCGGCTCCACGGCCGGTGGGATTTTGACACCCAACTGGAAAGGATTAAAAATATATAGGAAATAGAGTCTTGATCAGCCACTGAACTATACGAATAGTTAGATTTATTAACTCACCCTTATCATACATTGGTACCTAAGTGGCGCTCTTTTCCAGTTATTTTTTAAACTAATCAAGAATTTACCGGGACGCATGAAAAAAATGGGGTTTATTTAATCCAGAGGAACGGGCCATATTTGAACTCTTCCTGTTGGTAAGAGTAAACAGTTTTACATAATTTAGCTCCGGCAATAGTCCAAATAAACATGACTTCTACAGTCTTGATCTGAAGATCCTTGGAATAACAACATTTAAAATTTATTAAAAAAAACCTGTGGAAAGAGTGCTTCTTAGTGACTGAAGATATTGTCCACATATCGAACTTTTTTATGTTAAAGCTTTTGTCAAAGACGTAAGTTAAAATATCCCCTCGGTAAAGATATACAAAAATAATTAAATACATTTCGGTTCATCAAAGCTGTTTTTGAGCCGGAAAATTGGTTCGGAAAATAGCCGATAAATAATAAAAAACTGGTTCGGAAAATAGACGATAAATAATAAATTTTATAATGGAATGTGCCTTCTCTGTTCTGTAATACCTTTTCAAGTGGTCCATACAAAAGTCCAAAGGAATAATGTGACTATCAATACTTAAAAAATTTCAGCTATGCCACAGAATCACTCTCGCCTATTTCCCTGAAAACATCGCTAATTTCGAAATCGGTACTCTTTTACAAAGATTTTATCAAATACTCTTCCTAAAAATTTTTAGCTCCCAGGGAATGACTAATCGATTTTAAGAGAAGATTCTTCAATATATTGATTTATTTACTCTTAGCTGTTGAGGGTTATATTATATTTTTGATTCAATTGTAAAACCGAACGAATAGCCTTTTCGCACAGGCGTTAATTGATCAATTAGCCAGATTTTGCGCGATTAGAGCGCTAGCTTAGATCGATTTGCCATAGAAATTAACAATCTTATTTTACTACATTAATTCTGGAGCCAGAGATTATGGAGCCAAGTGTAGAAGATCACGCAAATGAGAAAAATTCTCTGAGCGCCATTCACAATCAAGTGGCCAGAAACGACTTCCGGTCTTAGACCAAGTATCCTCCGGGTAGCCATAAAGCATACGTTTGAAGCGGGCTAAAGTGAGAAGGCTAAACATCCTTCCCCAGGTTTGTGCGCAGGGTTTGGAATACACCACGTAAAAGCACTCAATGAAAAGTACACAACAGCCTTCACTGTTTTACGCTGCGCTAACACCGCATAAGAATTATGTATGTACGCCATTAAAGAAGAAGAATAATTCTTATTAGAAGTTAAATCCAGTTGAAATTAGCATGCAACTCTGCGGATTGTTGCCCAGCGTGCAAATTTGTTTGTGTACATTGTTAAATAACAATCATGCTGCTAAATTTTAACTATTAGAAAGAAAAAAACAACAAAGTTAACCACACAAACAAGTATAACAGCAGAAATCAAAGCCCAACCTACATATCGTCACCTTAAACACAAAATAACGCAACCTCACCTTTCATAAATTTCCAAGTGAAGGAAAAACGATATAATCGAAACCACTCACAATGAAACAAAATTTCAGTTTTAGTTATCATACAGTCATATAAAATGGTTATATATTGGTTATAATATCGATGTTTTGCATTTTATGTGACGATATGTGAAGCTAACAAGTTCTTATCAAGTCCTAATGTGGTCTACCGCGAATGACCTTTAATCGCTGAAAAGTATGACAGTTACATAATACTACAATGAGCTGCTAAGTGTCCGCTAAATCGGATATAGGTGAAAATTTTGAAAAAGTTGGAAAACAAATAATA